AGTTTGTAAAACAGTTCACCCCATGGATGCCCAGTACTCTGAGTTCCCAGGAGAGGCTTCAGTAGCTGGAGAGGATTCGATAACTGTAGGTGTCAGCAAATTAGAAAGCCTATTCCAGATACTTAAAATATTCAACCCTATACTTCTGTTGCTCTATAACCACTCCTGGTACTAAAATTTGTGTTAGGGTTCTCTAGAGGAATAGAACTTATAGAATGTGGGATTTATTAGAATGGCTTACAGGTTGTGGTCCTGCTAGTTCAACAATGACTGCCTTCCAACAGAAGGCCCAAGAATCCAGTAGCTATTCAGTCCATGAGGCTGGATGTCTCAGCTGGTCTTCAGTGTACACCAGAATCCCGAAGAAGTAGGCTCTAATGCAAGTGAAGGAAAGGACTTGTCAGTGAGAGTGAGGAGCAAGTGTCTCTCTTCCATGGACTTATTTAGTCTGCCAGCACACGGTGTGGCCCAGAGTACAGGTGGATCGTCCCACCTCAAAAGACCTGGATTAAATAAAAGTGGATCTTCCCACTTCAAAAGATCTGGATTAATAGTGTGTCTTCCTACTTCAGATACTTTAACTAAGAAAAAAAAATCCCGCATTTAAACCTAGCACTTGGGAGGCAGAGGCAGTTGGATCTCTGAGTTGGAGTCAAGCCTAGTCTAGGGTGAGTTCCAGGATAGCCAATGCTACACAGAGAAACCCTGTCTCAAAAAACAATCCAAAGTTTTGGAGGTCACGAAGGCAAGCAATTTATTATTAGTGTCCCACGAGCTTTACTGCAGATAACTCCTGAGTGGGGCTTCTTAATGGCTTCAATTGTTCTCTGGCCAAAGTTGCTTTGTGCCCCCTGCCCTATTCAGTATCTTTAAGTTGCAAGGTAAAGCAACTTCCTGACGTTAAAAAAAGTCAGCAAACTTGCTAATCAGTAACTTTTCTCTAGATTTACGGACTCTGGAACATCCGATGTCCTGCAGACTCTGGAACATCCAGTGACCTTCAGACCACAGCTCCTGTTTCAGAAAAGCAGGCCTCTGTGGAATTTATGACCAGCCCAGCCGTCCTCAAACTCAAACTAGAAAATAGTTTCCTCAAATCCTTTGGTCACCTTCTACCTGCAGACCCTAAGCAAGATGGTCTTTGTTGGTGACTGTCTCCTATCTTTTGTTTTCTGACTTTCCAAATTAATCTTTTTCTTTGGTCCCAGCCTGTCCTTGAGTCACTGGCCTTTTCCAGAGTAAATGAAGTTGGGCGCTCTAGCAGAGCTAGCCTGGGCAATTTCAGGCTGGCGGGTCAAGCCTGTCGCTTCCTGCTAGGCAGCTCTTTCTGGTGGCTGGTTGTCTACCTTGGTGAAATCATGTGATATTGAGGGTTCTGACTGACCACTCACAGGTAGGATATAGTTAGTGGGATGCTGAGACTGACTCCCTGGTTGTCTGACAGCACCAGAGGAAGAATGACTAAGTCTCAGGTCAACCTGTGATTAATGGCTGTCACTGAACCTCCTTGGATGCATGTAGTTGCAAACTCTGTCCCGATAGAATCCAAGTCTCTCTGAGGGACCTAACACATCCCAAGATATTGATGGGTTGACTCATACTGGAAATGAGAAATGCTAGACTCATTGTAGGAAACCAGCTTGACATGACCACAGTCATTTTAGCTATAACCTTGGGTGGTGAGGCATATGACCCCAGCACTTTCGAAACCTATAGGATGAACAAAGTCATTAAGTCAGGTGAACCAGGTGGTGGTGGCCGAGGTGCATGCCTTTATTCCCAGCACTTGAGTGGCAGAGGCAGGCAGGTCTCTGGGTTCAAGGACAGCCTGGTCTAGAAAGCAAGTTCCAGCATTCCCAGGGCTGTTACAGAGAAACTCTGTCTCAGAAAGGTCAGGTGAACATTTCATGCTAACTACTTATGGCCAAATTGTTTTGAATAGATATTTAATGAAATAAGCTTAATAAAATATCTGACTGGCCACATTCAGCAAAACATTAGAGATACTCTTTAAGTCTGCAAATCTGTAACAAATTGCACTTTGTGAAATTCAGGATTTTTCTGACTTTTCTGGAATATGTACATACTCCTGTGGGCTAGTGGTCAATGTTGGATAACTTCCTTGATTGCTAGCCACTTGATTTTTAACTTTTTTTTTTTTCGAGACAGGGTTTCTCTGTAGCTTTGGTGCCCATCCCAGAACTAGCTCTTGTAGACCAGGCTGGCCTCGAACTCTCAGAGATCCGCCTGCCTCTGCCTCCCCAGTGCTGGGATTAAAGGCATGCACTACCACCACCTGGCTGATTTTTAATTTTTTAATGTTTTTCCTATTTTGGAAATAATTTGTTTAACTTTATTTTATGTACATTGGTATGAGGGTGTAGGATCCCCTGGAACTGGAGTTACAGACAGTTGTGAGCTGCCATGTGGGTGCTGGAGATTGAACCCGGGTTCCCTGGAGGTGCAGTCAGTGCTCTTAACCACTGAGCCATCTCTCCAGCCTGATATTTTTAATTTTTATTACATTTATTTGTGTGTGTGTGTGCCAGGGGTCAATGTTGGATATTTTCCTTGGTTGCTGTCCATCTCCACCCCCCCCCCACCCCCCCCCCCCCCGCAACATACAAGGTTTCTCTGTAGCTTTGGAGCTTGTCCTGGAACTTTCTCTGTATACCGCACCCAGCGCAGCCTGGACTTGCCGAGACTGTTGGGGAGTGCCGGGATTGAGACATGGAGGTTTCTTTTCAGGTGGAAGAACAGCAACCTTTATTCTGCCCCAGCCAAAGTCTTTTATACCTCTACTGCTTCTGTGGAAAAACACCAGCCAGAAAGAACACAAACATTCTTTTTTTATTTTTTATTTTTATTTATTTATTTTTTTTTAGTTTTTCGAGACAGGGTTTCTCTGTAGCTTTGGAGCCTGTCCTGGCACTAGCTCTTGTAGACCAGGCTGGCCTCGTCAATTACAACAACACGCCCGGCGTGTCAATTACAGATCCCAAGGAAGTTCCCCTGTCGGTCAGGGGGAATGAGGGCAGCTGGATCACAACAACACTGTATACTAGGCTGGCCTCAAACTCACGTAGCTCCTCCTGTTTCTGCCTCCCGAGTGTTGGGATTAAAGACCTGTGCCACCACCTGGTAAATGTAGGTTTTTTTTTTCTTTTGAGTTTTCAAGAAAGGGTTTCTCGCTGGGCGGTGGTGGCGCACGCCTTTAATCCCAGCACTCGGGAGGCAGAGGTAGGCGGAGCTCTGTGAGTTCAAGGCGAGCCTGGGTACAAGAGCTAGTTCCAGGACAGGCTCTAAAGCTACAGAGAAACCCTGTCTCGAAAACAAAAACAAACAAACAAAAAAAGCAAAAAAGAAAGAAAAGAAAAAGGAAAGGGTTTCTCAGCGTCTCCTGCCTTTAGCAATCGATTGTCACCCATGGAGTTTCCCCTTTAAACCAGGGGATCCACTGACAGGTGACACTGAGGTTTCATTGTAGCCCTCCCTGTTGTGAGGGCTTAGCTAGGTGCTGTAGCCACTGAGCAGTCCCAAGGTAAATGAGGAGCAACCAGAATGATCCACAGTGACCACATGGCAGTGTGACTGTCCAGAGCGCTTTTGGGAGCTGACAATGACTAGCTGGCCTAATCCCAGGCTACTTCAGGCCATAGGTGCACGCTGTAGTTTATGAGAAGTCCTTTTCTGGGGTCCTCTCAGCCAGTCCCATGCCACCTGCACACGAGAAAAGGGCTGACAGGGTGATGGGGACAGTCCGAGGGAATGGTAGGCTGTCTAACAGCAATAGGCGGTGCTTCAGGGGACTCAGGGCTGGTGGGTACAGATGGACGCTACTATTGACTGATGCACAGTGTGGATGAGGAGGCGAGCGATCAGAATCTGACGGTGGCAACCGACTTATTATTTATTTGAACCAGGTGACCGACAGAGTACCTATATATGGCGCTAGGTCCACCCTGGAAGCGAAAGCCTGCTTGAGGACATATGATGACGGACATAAGTGGAATCTGACAAAAACAGTCCCTTTCTGAATGGCTGAGGACGTGATTGGCTAGCCTCGTGACGGACGGACGGGGCAGGGCCTTAAGCAACTCCAACCACTTCTACTGCCCAGACGCACTCTGGGAAAGAGCAGCGAGCACGGGACTCCAGACCGCTTGTGCTGGCGGGAGGGGTTCACTCCCATTTCTCCGATTGGTCCGCGTGGGGGCTGTGGGCGGCGAGGGACGGCCAATAGACTGCGCGTTCCCGGCCACGCCCGCGCGCGCTCTCTTCTCGCGAGGCCTGCTAGGCCCGAATGTCGTTAGCTGTGGAGAAAGATGGCGGAAAATTTAAAAGGTGAAGCTGTGATGGCTGAGGTGCAGGCTACTGGCCCGGTCGAGTAGAATGGAGGGAAGGTGTGGAGGGCTCCGGCTCAGGCGTCCGGAGCCACGAAGCCTGGAGCTAGAAGACCGGCGCCGAAAAGATGGGGCTGAAGAGCGCGGGCCCGGCGCGCGGGCTGGGCGGGGCTGAGGGGAGGGGGCGCGTGCTTCGGCCGCGGGGGGCGCGGGGCTGCGCAGACTGCGCGCAGGGGTTCTCGGTCGCGCGCTGCCGGCCGGCGCGCCCACGCACGCGCCAGAGTCCTGAGGAGAAGGTTGCGACCACACGCGGGAAAAGCTGCTCCCGGTGACCATTACTCTTTCGCTTTCCACGGGAGACGCCGGAAGGGGAGGAAGAAGGGGAACGGACCCCCTTCTCAAAAATGGGGGAACCGGCGACTCTAGGTGGGAAGTATCTCGGCGCGCTGGGGGCAAGGTTTCGGGGCGAAGATTCTCCTCGGGAGAGGGAGCGGGGGGCTCGGTGATAGGAGGGCTGGACTCCTCCATGTGCGGGGAGAGAGGGGTGACCGCGTCGGGCAGGCTTGGCAGCGGCTAGGGCTGGGAGGAGAGATTCCACAAGTGGGAGCCGGGCTGCCGCGGCGGGGAGCGCGCCGGGCGGCGCGGGGCGTGGGGCGCGGGGTCGGGGCGGCCCCCGGGGGGGCGCGACCGCAGGTGGCACGCAGGCTCGAGGAGGGACGGGCCCGGAGCGGGGACGAGGCGCCGGAGTCGCGCCGGGCCTTGGCTCGGGAAAGTGCTTGCCCGGGTTTCGGAGGACGCCCGCGCGCCCGGGAGGACCGCGTTCTGATGGCTTTAGGTTTTAGCCTTTTCTAAAGATGGCAGTGGGTCGCTTTAGCAGACAGTTAGCCTCAAGTGTCTTCTGACAGGGTTGGGTTACAAACATGGCTTCGGGAGCGCACTCGAGGGTGCGTTTTGAAGCAGGGGTGTGTACGTGAAAGCCGCTTGGCGACCCCGTGTGTGTCAGTGACTTGCCGCATGGACTGTTTACATTTTCGCGAATTGAGAGCACAGCCCTCTGGGGTCACAGGAACGTGAAATGAGAAAGCAAGGGATAATGCAGCCTGAAAAAACAGCCCAGACTAAGTCGAGGAAGCTTCCAGTAATGTTACTGCCTCCCCCCCCCCCCCGAGACTGGGTCTCACTGTGGGATTTAGTATTTTGACCAGGCTGGCCTCGAACTCACAGAGATCTTGAGATTTGCCTGCTTCTGCCTCCCTAGTGCTAGTACCGCTACTCCCCGCTTAATGTGACACCTTTCCACAATCTTTATAATTCCAAAATCTAAAAAGCCCCGAAAGTAGAAGTCTTTTTCTTAGATTTGTCACTAATCGTGGCAGATGATGATTTTTTTGTTTGGTTTTTCAAGGCAGGGTTTCTCTGTAGCCTTGGCTGTCTTGGAACTCCCGCTGTAAACCAGGCTGGCTTTGAACTCGTATCTGCTTTCCTCTGCCTCCTGAGTGCTGGCGCCTCCACTGACCAGCACTAAAGGGGATCTTTAAAAGTGGGATTATTCAGTGAGGTTATTTAATGTAGAAAATTCAGGCTTTCGGTGTAGATGTGTTTGCTGTTAATGTGTTTGATTATGGATGGCTTGATATGTTAGATCCTGCTATGAATGTGTCTAAAGTTACATTTTTTAAATCCCCTAATTTTTTAATTCCAAAATATGTGGTCCAGGTGTTTCAGCTAAGTGGTTAAAGACCTTTCTTTACAGATAACACCTCTTGTGCCCTAGGGATATTCATCCTAACCCCACCCCCGCCCCTTAGGCAATGCACCCTACTGAGCTAGGGAGCTGTTTCTTTCTTTTGCAAAGTGGGAAGAGGGGTGATTAGATCTTGAACCTAAGGCAACTTTGCAGGCAGTTTTTGGATCTTGGGAGTTCTGGCAGTAGATCCTTTTACAGACAGTTCATGCTGTAAGCTGCTCCATTTTCTGCCTTGCTGTTCCATGGTTAGGGGCCAGGGTTTAGATCCTTTTACAGACAATTCATGCTGCAAGCTGCTCCATTTTTCTGCCTTGCTGTTCCAGGGTTAGGGGCCAGGGTTTGGAGTAGATTCTCCCAGAAGAGGGGATGGGTCCTTTCTCGAAGAACTGGATTCCTCCGTGTACAGGGAAAGAAAGGTGGGTGACTCTCTGCGTGGGGGGCAGGTTTCACTCCAGGAGTTTTCCCTGGGCACTGAGTATTAGGGTTCAAGGAACTGGCATGTTCCTGTTGCAGAGGGCCTTGGTTAAGTTGCAGGGCGGTGGTTAATCCTGGCAGTCGGGAGGCAGAGGCAGGCGGATCTCTGAGTTCGAGGCCCAACCAGGTCTATAGAACTAGTTCTAGGACAGGCTCCAAAGCTACTCAGAGAAACCTTGTCTCGTAAAACCAAAAAATTAAAGAAAAAAGTTTGGTTAAGGTCTGTGGAATCTATTTGTTGTGACTCCTGTGCTTTCTCATTCCAGGCTGCCGTGTATGTTGCAAATCGTCCTGGAATCAGCTTCAGGATCTGTGCCGACTAGCCAAGCTTTCTTGTCCTGCCCTTGGCATTTCTAAGAAGAATCTTTATGACTTTGAAGTCGAGTACCTGTGTGATTATAAGAAGATCCGTGTAAGTCTGGTGGGGGTGTGTGATACTGCCCTGGCAGGGAACCCTCTTCCCCACCCAACCTTCACATCTCTTCACAAAGAGAATTTTCACCTGTGGAAAAATGGCATGATAGACGGTCCTATTTCCATTTTACAGGTGGGGAAATCAAGTGCCTTTATCAAATAGGCAGAATAAATCCTCAAATGTCTTTTTCCACTTGAAAATATAAATTACTTGTAGACAAATATTGAAGTTCTTTTTTATGTATTTTGGTTTTGTTTTGTTTTTTTGAGACAGGGTTTTTCTTTATAACAGTCCTGGCTGTCTTGGAACTTGCTCTTGTTGACCAGACTGGCCTAGAACTCAAAGAGATCTGCCTTCCTCTGCCTCCTGAGTGCTGGGATTAAAGGTGTGTGCCATCACCGCCCAGTTTACACCAGGAACTTTTTAAAACTCTGATAATACAGGATGAAGTGGCAACAGTTAACTGCCAGAGAAAGTAATAGTTACTAGAGCCCACTGAAAGCAGCATGCTTAGCTGAAATGTAGACTTTATTTTCCCTTTCTGTAAAATGGGGAGGACTAGAGTTCTGAGAATTAGTTCTGGGGTGTGTCAGTTGCTCAGGATAATACCTGCTGCATTAGGGAATGATGAAAAAAAGGTTAACTGTTTTTCCTTTCCTCTTTTTATTTTTAGACAGGCTTTTGCTATGTTGCAAAGACTGGCCCCAAACTCAGAATCCTTTTGCCTTGGGTTTATTGAGTGATAGGATTATAGATATGTGTATGTTATATGTATATAATTCTCTCTCCACTTATATTTTCTTTACAGGTGAGGTAACAGACGTGATATAATTTATTTGCCTAAGGCAACATAGCCAGGAAGCTACAGATTGACATGTCAGCTATGGCTGACTCCCAACAATTAAAGCTCCCTCACCCCTGGCACTTTACAGAAAACTGCCTGAAAGAGTAGGGGTAAAAAACGGGATCAATGGAGAGTCGACTACCAGAGAATTGGCTGGTTGTAGTGTTTTGATGTGGTGGAAGGGATCAGATCTAAATGTGTATTTAGTGGGGAGTATGAGCTCAAGAGGAAAAAAAAAAACCAACTAGGAGTTTGGGCCTGAACAGATCATTGGAATGAATATAGGAGGAAGTGATCTGGGGGTTTGAAAAAGTAGGAATTTCAACAGCTAGTAATAAGAGAGTGGAAGTTGAATTTATTAATTCTTACTCCAAAAGAGGCACTGCATGGACCCATTATGGACCCATTCTAGAAAAAGAGTAGTGTAGGGTGAGTGTTCTTCGTTGCCACAAGGATCTCACATTTATGGCACTCTCCTGTTCCTGTCCTAACAGGATCAGGAGTACTACCTGGTTAAATGGCGTGGATATCCTGAGTCAGAGAATACCTGGGAGCCACGGCAGAATCTCAAATGTGTGCGCATTCTCAAGCAGTTCCACAAAGACTTAGAAAGAGAGCTGCTCCTCCGGCATCGCCTGTCAAAGCCGCCCAGGCACCTGGACCCAAACTTAGCCAACTACCTGGTGCAGAAGGCCAAGCAGAGGCGGGCACTGCAGCTCTGGGAGCAAGAGCTCAATGCCAAGCGCAGCCACCTGGGACGCATCACTGTGGAGAATGAGGTAGACCTGGATGGCCCTCCACGGTCCTTTGTCTATATCAATGAGTATTGTGTTGGTGAGGGCATCACCCTCAACCAGGTGGCTGTTGGCTGTGAGTGCCAGGACTGTCTGTTGGCTCCCACTGGAGGCTGTTGCCCTGGAGCATCCTTGCACAAGTTTGCCTACAATGACCAAGGCCAGGTGCGGCTGAAAGCTGGTCAGCCCATCTACGAGTGCAACTCCCGATGTTGCTGTGGCTATGATTGCCCTAACCGTGTAGTCCAGAAAGGCATCCGCTACGACCTCTGCATCTTCCGCACTAATGATGGGCGAGGCTGGGGTGTCCGCACGCTGGAAAAGATCCGCAAAAATAGCTTTGTTATGGAGTATGTGGGAGAGGTGAGGAGATGGGTCTGGTTATGTGTGTAGCCTTTCCTGCTATATGTTTGTAGTGTGCGTGCCTGAACCATGTGCCTAAAACTCTCCTGCTTTCCTTTGGTGCCTAAGGCATTGGTCTGAGTGTTATAGGGACATTGTAGCAGGGGTCAGTGCTTTTACCTGACACATCAACAGGATCATGCTGGTAGTAAAAAGAACACTGAAGTACTTCTGACCTCAAATGGCTTCATAAGGGTATATAGCAAAGAAAGTGGGAACCAAGCTTCAGGCAGTAAACCTTTGCAAAGCTATGTGGTCTGGTCATACAGGGTTGCATCACCTAGTAAGGCAAGTTCTCTCATTTTGTGATAAGGGTTATTGTATCACAAACAATGAAACTAAAGTAGCATGTAGGCTTATCTTGGATGGGGATTTGGCAAGAGCCTCTAGACCAGTGGTTCTCATCAACCTTGTGAGTTGCAACCCCTGGGATTCTCAGGGGTCACCTAAGACCATCGAAAAACATAAGATAATTTACATTGTTTCATAACAGTAGCAAAAATACAGTTATGAAGTAGCAATGAAAATAATTTTACGTTTGGAGATCACCACAACATGGAACTGGGGCAGCAGGTAGGAGCAGAACAGACAGAAAGATAGAGTGGGGGAGGATATGGGCATTCCTTCTGGTTTGAAAGATTTCAACTAGAAAGGTGGTTTTGAGATGAGCAAGTATGCTGGTGAGTTAGAATGTCTATCCTTAGTTCCCATAAGGTTCTCAGGGAGATAGGCCTACCTCGGCATACTTTGCTTTAAGTGAATACTCGCATGGCTATTGCTACATCCTTCAGGAGAGAGGCTTTACTGTTTATGATGGTGATACCCCGTTATGACCTGGAGTCTGCTTTAGAGGATGAATCTTTTTAGTTTTTCAAAACAGGGAAAAAGTCTTTTTCTTTTCCTGTGTAGTCCTGGCTGTCCTGGAACTCACTCTGTAGACCACGTTGGCCTCGAACTCAAGAGTTCCAAAGTTCTCAAAGAACTCCAACTGCCTCTGCCTCCAAAGTGTTGGGATTAAAGGTGTGTACCACCACTGCCTGGCTGAATCTCATTCTTTTTTTTTTTTTAATTTTACTTTGTGTGGGTGCATGTGTGCATGCACTCATTTGCAGTGTTCATGTAGCCCAGAAGGAGAGGTGGTATTGGATCCCTTGAACTTGAGTTAAGGGTATTTGGGTTGTGTTTGTTTTTTGAGACAGGGTTTCTCTGTGTAGACCAGGATGCTTCAGACTCAGATCTGCCTACTTCTTTCTCCCAAATGCTGGGATTAAAGGTGCGTACTGCCACACACACACATACACCCCAACCCACAATGCACTAAGTATACTTAACCAGCTCTATCCCTAGGCCATATTTCTTACAATTTCCCTCCCCCACACACACTACCTGAGTTTTTCCTGAATAGTGTCATACAGTATGTGTGTCTGATTCCATCTTTGTTGTATCTGTGGCCCGAGGGTCAGAATCTAGGCCTGTATTCTTCACCAGCCAGACTGATCAGCCTCATGAGAAGGATGTAGGCCCAGTCCCCAGTGAAAAAAAAAACCTGGTGGGGTGAGGGTATATATTAGAGTGGCTAGTGTGTGCAAGACCCTGAATTTGCTTACACCATCAAAAAAGCCCCCCAAAACAAAAGATCACTGAATGAATGAAATAAATTGTAAATGGGGAAGTCGGGTCTTTTCAGGAATGGTAGTGGTATGAAGTGTGGTTGGGAGGTAAATCTAGGTTTTAGAGATTAGAGAAGCAGCTGTTGATCGGGACTTGGCACAGGACATAGGTGATGGCAGAAGAGGCAGGTAGCAAACAGGACACCAATGTGGCGCCTTCCTTGCTAGAGAACATAGGGTGGTTAGGCCCAGAAGGGGGTAGATTTGAAACACAGGAGGAGCATGGTCAGTGTCATCAGGGAAGTGTAGAGTGTAGAGGCAAGAAGACAGGTGGGAAGGGAGTGTTGAAACTACCTAGAAGACTGCCTCTTGGGCCAGGTAGATTGCTGGGTCAGAAGAAAAAATAGCAGTTGGCATGTATCTGCTGTGGGTTGTGCTCTGTCTGTGCACTTATAGTAGGCAGATGAAGGGAAGCCAGAAGTGAGGGTACCCTGGGCTGAGGAGATGGCATTCTTTGGTACAGTAAGACACCCAGAAAGACAATAGCACTTGAGGGCTGCTAGAGGCTATAGTTGGGGGTACCAGGGAAGGCATGGAGGTGAGAAATGTCAAGTGAGGGTTGGGAGAGCAGGTCAGAACTGGAATGGTAAAGTAACTTCATGCTTATTAGGATGGGGATACTGGAGAGGAAATGTCGGAGGAGGTGCCTTCCAGTTTCAGGTGTTGGCACCAGAGTTCAGTGTTAGGACCTTCTCAGATCTGTTTTGCTTTTCCTTGTCTCATATTTTCTCCCATCCTTACTCTCCCTTTATCTCTGTCATTTTATCGTGAAGTTTTATTCTCAGCCTTTTTCTGGTCATCTCAGGATTTGAGGATTGTGGCCTTGGTCTTCTTTCTCTCTGACCTGAATCTTTCATACTATGATTCTGTGTTTTTGTCTCTGACTCTAGCTTTCTTGTCTGAGTCCCTTTCCCATCTATTCAAACCTTAGTCCCCCCTGTCTAGGGTCTCTTTATTTCCTGTGTCCTCTGTGTTCTTGCCATCTGCATGGCCTACACTGGTTCTCATTCCCTTGTTGTTGCCTTGTACTATGTCTCTTGCTGTCCTGCCCTGGGTCAGTTTCTCCTTGCACCCTGGCTCTCACTTTTTTGCCTGTGCTCTGGGTCTTTCTGTCTGTGTTTCTGTCCCATCTTGCTTTGCCCCAACTATACATGAGGCTCTGGGACATCTCACTGGGAACAGCAAGTGGACGTCCTCTTCCTTGCACTCTAACTGCACCTTGTAGCCACCACCACTCTCCACACCATTGTAAGACACCTGCCTTCCAGAGGTTGGAGAATGGGTGGGTGGTGGGTAACCCTCTGAGAACTGGTAGACTTCACTCCTGCTCACTGTTCTTCTCTTCCCAGGGGCCAGATCAGAATCAAGCTGGGGCTGGCTTTCTTGAACCTTCATGACCAATCTTACCCCCTTCCCCCAGATTATTACCTCAGAGGAGGCAGAGCGGCGGGGCCAGATCTACGACCGCCAGGGCGCCACCTACCTCTTTGACCTGGACTACGTGGAAGACGTATATACCGTGGATGCCGCCTATTATGGCAACATCTCTCATTTTGTCAACCATAGTGTGGGTGCCTCCAGCAGGCGGGCAGAGGGTTGGGAGGGGCAGGCCAGGGCCCCTCCTCACTTTCCCACTGTTCTTTCTTGTCCAGTGTGATCCCAACCTGCAGGTGTACAACGTATTCATAGACAACCTTGATGAGCGACTACCCCGCATCGCTTTCTTTGCCACAAGAACCATCTGGGCGGGCGAGGAGCTCACCTTTGATTACAACATGCAAGGTGGGGGTGGCAAGGGCCCCAGGGGCAGGGACACATGACGTGGGATATAAGGACCCTACCCCAAGGCATATATGGGTTATTAGCGGACCAAGGGAAATTCTTTTGCTGGAGTTTTAAGGTGTTCTTCCTGACTCCCAGCCTCCTACCTGAACCCTGCCCAAGGCAAGTGGGTTCCCATGTTTCTACCCCCTGAACCTCAACCCTGATAGACTTATACCACCACCTTCTCTCAAGACTTGTGGGAGAGGATGTTCGGCTGGAGAGTTAAGGCACAGGTACTTCCATCTTGAATGAACTGCCCCTGCCCCTCCTGACTCTAATCCTCTTTCACCTTCCTTGTTCTGTACCAAGAGATATCCTCGTGCTTTCCAGCCAATCCTCTTCTTGATAAGCTAGTCATCTCTGGAAACACTTGGCAAGATAATGGACAAGGGTTTGGGTGCTCAGGTTGCCCTTCATTCCTGAACCCTACCTGACATGACCCTTCGGTTTCCCTGTCAGCCATCTTCCTCCCAAAACATTCCTCAACCTGTCCTGAACAGTTCCTCTAGTGTTATGCTCCAGTTCTAATCCCAAAGATCCTAACTCCCAACTCAAGATCCCTGGGTCTTCTGGTATAAGGGGTAGTAGCAGGACGCTTCATGCATGCAGGCCTTCTAACAAATCCCCCCCCTCCCTCCTTCCCTGACTGTGACTTCACAGTGGACCCCGTGGACATGGAAAGTACCAGAATGGACTCCAACTTTGGCCTGGCTGGGCTCCCTGGCTCCCCCAAGAAACGGGTCCGTATTGAATGCAAATGTGGGACAACAGCTTGCCGAAAATACCTCTTCTAAGCCCTGAGAAGTTTGAGGCCACACTAATTGAAGGGGCCCGAAGCCACCTTCCTCTACTGCTGCCCTCTTGTCAAGAATGACCATCAGAGCCTTGTCTGCCTCTACTTGTCCTCATCTGCCCCGACCTGTTGCCCACCTGCTCTGCTCCAAGGTCAGGGCTGTGGTGAGGACTGACTCTGGGTACCCTTTCTCTGCTCCTTGCCCTGTCCCAGGCCCATCAGGCATTGCACTTAAAATTCCCAGCCCCATTTTCAGGAGTATATTTTTCACGTCAGGATTCCCTGAAGTTGGAATTCATGTTATGTCATGGAAGTCTAAAGAGTGAGGAACTCAGCCCCAGAAATGATTTTTTTGGACGGCATTTCTGTAACTCTATGTAGTTCAGGCTGGTTTTAGACTCTTAATCCTCCTGTCTCAGCTTTCTACATGCTGTGCATATAGGTGTAGACCCAGCTAAGATTTTTCTTTTAATTGCTTCTGCTTGGAGCCTTTGCGACATGTTGCAGGCCTCTTCACTGTTCTTAAGTTTGAGGAAGCAACCCCCAGGCAGACATACATCAGAGCTCAGAGAGATACCAGACTTAACTGTATCAACAACCACAGAGCCTTTGTAGTCGTAAAAGAAAAGGGGGTCTCTAGGGCTAGTTGGATAAGACTGGTTCTGCTCATCATGCTTTTGATGCTGGGTAGTATTGACCTTAAGACCCACAGGGTCTCAGAGTTGCAAGTCTGAGAAGCAGTTGCCCAAGTGCTACCAAAATGGGGGTGGGGTGAATACCTCTTTGAAAGCTCCACAGGAAGGTTAGGACTGAGTTTTACCATCCGGGAGTAAAGAGTTTTAGATGTGCTGGAAACCCTGCCTTGGCATGTAATACCACTGGAACTACTAGAAGCTGAAACCAAGATATAGTCTGTAGATAGCACTTAAGACAATAATGTGCATTGACCAGAAGTTGAGGTGCCAGGCACTGGGTCCATATGGATTGTCTCAGGGATGCCTTGAAAACCACAGCAGTGGAGCCCAGGACTAGGCCAAAAATGATTGGGGAGAACTTATTCACTAGAATATGGTGAGATGAGAGCTAAGCCCCCTTTTACTTGTCAGCTTCTTCAAGTACTTACCTGGTCCACTAGTCTCAAAAGTTAAACTGCCTAGAAATGTACAAAAGGCGAAGATTCTGATGGCTGCCTTGCCCCCTGCTCTCCTCCATTTTCTTCAGGAAGCCTTTCCTGACTTCCTGTGCCCAGAGTGTCCCTATGTGAGACTGTGCACCCTGCTACCGGATCTCTGTGTCTGTATGTGTCCTGCCCACACCTCCAAGGCTGACCTTCAGGCATGGACTGAATCTGGTTCTCTTGTGTACCCCTCAGCCCTCCCCAGCCTGGAGTGTGCATCAATAAATTGCGTTGTTGAAAACTAGAAACTGAAGCTGGGGCTGCCCTAGAATGTAGTGTAAAAAGGTCAAGTCATCTGACTAATCTTCCCATTTGGGGCCCCTAAAGTGGTCTTGCTACATAACTTCCATTTTAAAAATACACTTAAGGGGGCTGGAGATATGGCTCAGTGGTTAAGAGCACTGGCTGCTCTTCCAGAGGTCCTGAGTTCAAGTCCCAGCAACCACATGGTGGCTCTGTACTGAGATATGGCGCCCTCCTCTGGCGTGCGGGCATACATCGAGGCAGAATGTTGTATACATAAAAAGTAAATAAATTTAAAAAAAAAATACACTTAAGAACGAACAGTCCAACCCTGTCTAAATGGATTAATCACTATTAGTTGCCATAAACAAATATAACTAGCTGAAGAAGATTAAGGGCTCAGCTTGAATTTTAAGCACATTTAACAAATCTGTTCTGAAGTTTTCAACTTAAAGGCTATCTGGTATATTTGAAAATGCCTCAGGGAACCTTTTTTTTTTTTTTTTTTTT